GGTGCGATATTCTCGACCGTGGTGGTCTCAAAGCCGACCGACAGACGAGACGGGTACACAGACGACACGGTCGTCAATTGATGGGACGATAGGCACCATCACGTTGACGGTTGATGGGAATGCGGCCGGTGCACTGCACATGCAACAACGAGGGTTGGCTGCAGCGAAACACTCTGCGCCTGAGGTCCTGCGGCCACGGCAGAAGGGCAGCAGCATCTAGACTAAATTGAGAAAACCCCTCCAACGTCTTCATCGCCAATGTTACCCCTTCATACCGCGACAGAATCAGATTCCAAAACTCTCGTGATATCGCATCCTTCTCGCATCACTTTTCGCATCCCGCGCCAATCCCCCAAACGGTCCCTGCTTAGGGGTCGTCTCTCCCCCGCTAACTTGCATGCCCGCCAATCGAAAAGACGCCGTTGCACTCAGTACATCCGCGGTGCCGCTCGCTGCAAGATGCGAATCGTCGAGCTTGGGCCGCGCCTAGCCCGACTCGGTGCGCGGAGAACATCAGATAAGCATTGTGGTTGCGATGGTTACCATCTCGGTCATGCGTGCGACAGATACATTCGCTCGGCGGAGTTGAGGATTGATTACCTATACTACCTGCTTACACAGCAAGTCAGACGACCGGCGGGCGGATGCAGCAGCGCTCGCAGAAGCAACGCCGTGTGATTTGTGAGCAGACAGTCGAGCGGTATCGCGGACTTTGACCATGCCGAGCCCGACGACTTGCTGCGCGCCACATGGACCGAAAGGACGCTCTCCCTGGCCTTCTGGTCTTGGCATTGCTGCAAGCCACACAAATTAGGGATTTCCTCTCGACACCTCTTCGCCGCGCGCGCCATTGGTAGTCGCCGGCTAGCAGCCACTCACGACCCGCCAACGTCCGACACATGGGCTGTTGTTCCCTGCCGCAAGTCTGGAAAGAGTCACCATCATGGATCACCCATCGACAGGACGGCGACCATTGAACAAGACGAAATACCCGTTGAGAGCTTCGGCAGGCATGACATTTTTAAAGTCTTCACTCGCAGCGAAGATCAACGAAGCGTCTTGACTAGAGACATCGACATCGTCAATGTCCGTGGTCGCCGATAGACAGGACAGGCGACCACCCGCCTGTTGCAATCGTTGCCATCATCACCATTCTTGCGATTGATCGAGAGCTCATTCGCACTAACCAACAGCTCACCTCCAATACACTCACATGGCCTGCAGGCCCTGCCCGTCACCGTATCATCTTGTCTCACCGCTCAACCCAAATACAGCAGTTGTCTGTGCAGATCCAACTGAGAAAGGCCGGTAGTACTCATCGTCGTTGCGAAGGTCCAGCGCACTTGGCGGGCTTGGCAGTTTGACACCGTTTCCCTGCACATTACAGAATACACACACCGAACATGGCAGCCAGTCACGCTCGCGCGTACTCGCGTAACGTGAAGGTGACAGGGGCCTCGGCGGAAGTGTTTGCAGCAACCTCAGCCAGTGTCGTGCGTCGGGTGTGCGTTGGTCCCCGCTGATCTGAGCCAACGTGCCAACCCGGCAGCACACGCACGAGATGGAAGACTGATTGAGCACTCGAGAAATCTCCCCCCCTGTGGTATCGCACTTCAGCATCCACTTCGCCCAGAGCGTTTGCGGTTGCAATCGAGATTGTGAGCCTGCAAAACTAAGATTTGATGGAACGAGTCCGACATGCCTTGTTGAGCGGACATTTTCCACTCCCTCTCCTCCCGAAGTGCCCCATTTTCCACCTCGGAACCTTGGGAGCGGGACCTGGGTTGGCGAAGCTCCCCGAAATGAGCCTCTCCTTTTTGCTGGAATCCTTCCAATTTTTTTTCACCGGGCCCTCGGGTCCGCCATCGACTGGAGCCTCCCCCTCGGCTGCGAGCTTGGGCAGCCCTGTCTTGGATAATGGATCAACAAAAAAGAGTGTGAAAACACGCGCAGCCGCCGTCGCGCACAACCTCCGAGTGATCCGGGTGCCAAGACCCGCCAGCAACACCGTGATACCGCAGCCGCTATAGGTATCCCGTAGGTACCCTGGTTGGTCTGCCCACGAGAGAGATTCAGTCCCTCGCGGTCGGTGAGAATAAGCTTACACTCACGAGTCGCCATCTCAGCCCAGTGATTTGCGACCCTCCTGCCGTCTCTCATGGCCCGGCTATTCGCTGCTGTCGTCTCACATCATCCATGCGTCTCGCACGTTCCCATGGCGAGCCCATCCGGCCAACCAAGCGGGAGACATTCTCATGCAAAACACAATTTGCTATGCTCACGGTCCTTTGCCTTTGATTGTGGCATGAACCAGACAGCGACGTGGCTCCTGTGGCCGAACTGCCGCCCAGGGTGTCTCTTTCCCAAGCGGCTCTTATTGGTTTCCATGCGCATGAAGCTGTGACAACCCTTCCTGGCCGTTTGGGTTGTCTACCGCAGTAGTGTCTGCCTCGCGACTGGCATGTGCCTGCCGTGCGCACGAGAGACAATTGCCAGGATGGGAGGGGGCACGATGGTTCACCGCACAACAGGATCAGCCCCGTTCCAGAGCGTGGTTCGACGGGCCTCAACACCAGAGATGGGACTCGTCCGAGGTTGCGCGAATACCTTATTTCCGACTCAGCCGCCTGTTCGTCCCCCTGAGTCGGTACTTCCTACCACACCCCCACCCGGGCCCGTGCCGGCATTCGGCGTTAGACGGAGCCGACTTGCTGTAGTAATCACGGGCTAGTCTCGCGGAAAGACCGGCCGAACAAAGGAGGCCTAGATCCTCGGTGGCCTGCCACGGCACCGAGATTCCACCGCTAAGCAATTTCCGTCATGCCTTCGGCGCCCCAATGGAGTTTTGCTCACTGTCGTTCTCGACGTCAAGAAGGTTCATAGACGGCATTCATCAGTCTTGGCAGCCAAAGCAGCATGGCCTTTCCATGTTTCCACCTGCCCCCCTCCTCGACCTCTCTACATTGGACAAAAATGTTTCAAGTCACCCGAACGGGAGCATCCGGTCGGGCACGTTCTGTCCTCATTGGAAGGGGACCTGAGCTGAACACCCGCCGATCACTTCTGGCTGTGGACATGCCTCGTGGGAGATCCTTGGTGAAGGGGGCGCGCACGCATGATGACTCTGCAGCAGAAAGTATGTTTTGCCCGTGCTGTCATACCTGTCTTGGCGGGAGGTTTAATCCTCTGGCCAGGGCCCAGATATGGTTTACTCAACGTCTGGAAGTTCAGAGCAACTTTTTTTAATTTCTTGTTCTGCTGTTTTATTTGTACATTTGCCTTTGCTCTGTGATATTCTGGAGACAGGCGAGAAAGTTCATCCACGTTGGAATGGTGTGAAAGACGGCCACACTTTCCATCTTCTTATATATTGCCCCCGTTAGGAAATATGGCACGGTCTCTGTGGAATGATGGGCGATTTAAGCTATTAGAGCTCTGGGGAAAAGCGTAAGGCTCCATGCTCTGCGTGCTTAAGCAGTTTTCTGGGGAACGGGCTCTACTTTGAGTCTAAAAAGAAGGAAGCTTGGCCATTCAGCAGGCCCGCTTGGCTACTTGGACTCCTTGGCGCCAATGCTGTAGTTGAGATGAAGAACGTCTACCCGCCGTACCCGCCTGGCGTGAGGCTGTTCGCATGACAGTAGTCTCCTTCTGGGGGAGGCAAATCCACTGGTGGTTGGCGGGTTCGATCACGCGGGGGTGGGAAGCTGTGACCATGTGGCCAGATGGCATGAACTGCTATGATGTTTCTAGCAGTCGGCGATAGAAGCTTGAGGGAGCTCTGCGTGCTGTACGGCCCTTGTTGTTGGTCGGGGAGGGTGTCCGGGGAGTCTTCTCCGTGGGTGGAAGAGGGGGGCGAATGGCGAATGGCGATTTTGGAGATGGAATTCCGAGGAATTGGGTATCCTATCTGGGGAGAGATGAGCTTAGCTGAGCTGATTTCCTTCTTCGGTCATTGGGGGAATAGCTTGCCCAGGGAGGCGACTTGGTTTGCCAAGACCGTCTTCGTGCTGCCGAGCAATGCTTATGCAATCTTGCTCGTCTCTGAAGCTGTCTGAGGTTTTTGAAGCCTTCGTGAGTCTTTTGTCCTGGTAGGACTCCTTCGATAGCCGTCCTGAGACTGCATTGTGGTAGAAGAGATGACCTGAGGCAAAACTTGATCCGGGGTCGCAGGGGTGAACTGAAGACGGGAGGCGATGTGAAGCTGAAGCTGAAGCTGGCATTGAGGCGAGATCTATCCCGCCACGGACACTGACCATATTACCCAAAGCAGATGTTCCCAATCACGAGAGTCTTCCCTTTGCCGTCTCGCACAGATGGCCAGATCTTCAAATGGCCATTCCGAGCCATCAGAAACTCCCCAAACGGCATCTCGAAATACCGCATAATCTTCACGCCACGTCCGTGTCGTCTCTGGCACAAGCTTTCAAACATTTCTGAACGTTGCAAGAGCCAAATCCCACATAAGCTTAAGCCTCTGAGCGGTCCAACGAGCCTCAGTGTATCACTAATTCAGAAACATACACTCAGGACCTGCGTCGCATTTGCCGAATCAGGATTTAGGAAGTGGTAGTACGGTATGGCGCTGCAGGTCTCACGCGCGCGTGACCGGTCGGGGGACCCAATCATCGGGGCCGCGGTGAAGACGAATGTCTCCGGAGCGGTGGTGGTGTTACGTCGCCGGGACGCGGGTCTGCGGCGCGGATGCGGGCCGGGGGACGTTTGTGAGACCGCGTGATGAGGCTTTTTCTCCCGAGCGGTAGATTGTCCAGGGGATGGTTAATCAGGTGGTGACAATCTATCTTTTGGATCAGGTACGCTGCGGTCGACCTGCCTGATGAAGTTAGGATGTTGATTGAGGCTGTTGAGAGGTGTCTTGGTTGTTGCTTGGGATTGATACAAATGTATTTCAATAGTCATGGTCAATGAACTGTTTTGAGCTGCTCTTGTTCAATTGAACTCCTTGATTTTGAGACGAATATCGCGAACGGCAAAAACGCAAAATGGCTCGCAAATCACCCCAGCCACTTCAGCCAATACTCTCGGCGAACGAGATTGTCCCCTTGATCAAACGGTTCATCGCAGAGCATTCCTCTATCCGCGACACCCTCGTAAAGACTATCTCGCCCTCTAAAGCGTGCTACCAGACCGTCATTGCGCCAATTCAAGCCGTCGACGATGCAATCCAGGGGGAGGCGGGTGTTTACGCCATGCTGCGCTACTCGGGCCCCGACGAGCTCACCCGTCAAGCAGTTCAAGAGGCGCAGGAGCTCTGGTCGGCAGCTGGCGGAGAGAACCTCAAGCGAAAGGACGTATACGAGCTTATCCAGGCCGTCAAAGACAAGAATGAAGATCTGGGGTACGAGGAGCGAAAGATTTTAGAAGATATGTGGTCGCAGTTTCGGCGCGCCGGCCATGGGGCGCTTGATGAAGAGCAGATCAAGATGTATCTCAGCCGACGGGAGAGAATTGAAGAGCTGAAGAGGGATTTTCAGAACAATTTGAGTGGGAAGGGGACGGGTTTGTGGTTTGAGAAAGATGAGTTGGAGGGTGTTTCGGCACAGGAGATGGCGAGGTGGAAGGAAGAAGACGGGAAGATGTTTGTGCCATTGGAAAGGGGGGATAATGAAGCTGTCCAGCGATACGCTAATAACCCTGAGACGAGGAAGAGGATGTTTGCTGCATACGACGTCAGGCTGGTTGAGAATGTCCCCCTTTACAAGGAAATGATCATTCTCAGGGATGAGAACGCGAGAATGTTGGGGTACAAGAACCACGCAGACTTTCGAATTCGGGAGAGAACCGCGCCGTCAACAGAGTGGGTTGACGAGTTTCTGAATAAGTTGATCAAGGATTTGTTGCCGAAAGGGAAGGGGGAGATTGAAAGGCTTGAAGCAAAGAAGAGATCCCATCTCGCCGTGGAGGAGGCGGAGATTCTACCTTGGGATTACCAGTACTACACTCAACTGCTTGAGGAAGAAGCCAACGTCGAGCACGAGTTGATATCGGAGTATTTTCCCCTGCAGCACACCCTGTCGTCGATGCTGGGACTGTTCAACCAGTTCCTCGGACTGGAGTTCGTGCCTGTGCCGGAAGAGGACTTAGAAGGGAAGCTTTGGGCTGAGAACATCCAAGTCTGGAGCGTTTGGGAGGGAAGAGGGGAGAGAAAGGACGAGTTTGTGGGATATCTTTATGCTGATATTATTTGGAGGGAGGGCAAGTATCGCGGGAACTGCAACGTCAATTTGCAATGTGTAAGATACTTCGAGATCACATCAAGACGGATGCTAACAAGCTACAGAGCTACGTTAAAGAAGACGGAACCAGGGTGTATCCTGCCACGATCCTCATGTGCGCCTTCCAACCACCATCAGCAGCGTCTTGCGCCCTCCTCAAACACCGACAAGTTGTCACACTCTTTCACGGCACGTACCCATTTACCACCCCATGAACGCTTTCTGACATCAAACAGAACTGGGCCATGCCCTCCACGATCTGATCTGCCGAACCAAGTACACCCGCTTCCACGGCACCCGCGTGAAGCCCGACTTTGGCGAGGCCCCCAGCACCATGCTCGAGAACTGGTGCTGGATGCCAGATGAGCTGGTCAAGATGAGCCGGCACTACACCCACATGGACCCTGCCTATGCAGCCAAGTGGAAGGAGGACCACGATGACGCCGAGCTGCCGCCTGAGAAGATTAACGAGAAGCTTGTGGAGCGATTAGTCGAGAGCCGGAGCTTGAATCGTGCGCTGTGGTTTTTGAGGCAGATGTGAGTTGTGAAATCTGAAATTCGTGAGTGTAGGGGACTAATGATAGCAGCCTATTTGCCAAGTTCGACTTGGACGTCAACAACCAGAAGTCTACCGACGCAGTGAGGGAGTTGGATGAGGTCAAGCTTTACAACGAGCTCAAGGAGACTCTCACCCTGACCAAGACCCCCGAAAATAAAAGTGTTGGATACGTTCAGTCGAACCATCTCATCACCCTCTACGACGCGGGGTACTTCTCGTATCTCAGGCAAGTCACCCCTGACACGCCCCCAAGCAGCCGCAGCTGACGATGCTTCTACAGCGCCCACGCCTTCGCGGCAGACTTCTTCGAGTCCAACTTTGCCAAGGACCCGCGGGATCCCGAGGCCTGGGACCGCTACCGTCATGGGATCTTAGAGCATGGGGCAAGCAAACAGGAGATGGAATACATGACCGAGTTCCTTGGTCGTGAGCCTGGGCCGGGTGCGCTTCTTAGGAGTCTTGGGCTGTCGACGTCCTGAAAATCTTGCCGGAAGGATGAGTGTGGCAATTTCTTGCGTCCTTGACGAATGAGACGACATAAAAAGTGCTATTGTACTGTCATATCGCGATTATCGTCAGAAAACTGACTGCTTGTGTGAATCTTGTGTCATATCCAGAGGGGCAACACCGAGTGAGCAGACGTATGGAGACTAAGTTTCCCTTCGACTCAGTCAATAGAGTCCTGTCTAAGGGAGTAGATGTATGTATTGTGATGTGCCAACCCAAGCGTACTCAACCTCGACACATGGATCGGAATCCAGAAGAGGGGACTAACGAGCCACAGCATACATCACTATTGACTTGACTCTTCTTCTCGACAGCTAGCATGCTGAAGTTTTCGGTTTCTATGTAAACGTATTCTAAAGGTCCTCTTTCGCCTAGCTTGCCGCCACGCCGCAGTTGTCGTCTCGTGGTCTGGGGAAGGAGCATGAACGCATCCTTACGCATCCAGGGCAAGCAGAAAAGCATCTCGCTGAGTTACAATGACCGTTACAGCACATCCAACTACACAATCACAGTGCGAGTCAGACAAGACCGAGTTTTGCATTCTTCATGTCATTATAGGGCTTTCCATCCGAGTCCTGTTGTTGATATATGCTATAGGAATCCGCCCAAACATCAAAAACGAAAAGAAATTGGGGTGCCGCGAGACGCCCACCTCTCGTCCAACGACGGAGCCAGTCCGCGGACATCAACCCGAGGTATCTTGTTTTCCTTCTCTTTTCTCAACCCGCCCCATCAGGCTCTCTGGGCATGGGGCCCTGCCCAGAGAGCATCGTGAAATCGAAGGGCCGAACTCGGGGCCGAACTCGGGGCCATTCCATCTTCGCGTGGCCGCCGTGCGCGGGCGCCTCGCATGTGCATGAAAGTCCGCCACGTATTCCCTATGCCGAGGTGAAGTCTTGGGCGGGTATCGAGAACTGGATACTCCCACTGAGAGCGGCCCATTTTGGCGTCCTCATCAGAGGCAATGGCTTTCACATGTAGTCCTACACCGCCTCGAGACTATCGCCGCAGTGCCGGACCGCTCCACAATCCCTTGCTTGTCTCAACGACCTTATTCTGCTCACTGCCTGGACGCAGACTTGCGGGCACGCTGGTCGGTGTCGGTCCCGCATCTGTCATGACAACGTCGTTCTGGTTGTCCGCCTCGGGCTGGGTGCCGTAGCCTGAATCCTTGTGATTTGTATTGCCCATGCTGATGGCACTGTCGTCCTTCTTCGCGTTCGGTGGGGACTTTAGCCCACGATCGGGCTCGCGGGATTTGGCGCCATCCATAAGGTTCTGTTGGCCCTCGCGCAGCTTGTTGATTGCGCGAACCGTGTCAATGGCAGCATGCAATGTCCGGCGGGCGTTGAAGTTCTTCTTGACGGTGGGCAGCAGGTTCTGGCCCTCGCCCTCGCCGTTGAGGTAGCCCGCAACGAAGGGGTGCTGCAGAGCCTCGTGCGCCGTCATGCGCTTCTTCGGGTCGATGGTCAGACACTTGCGGATGAAGTCCTTGGCGTGCTCGGATACGCCGCGCCAGTAGTCGAAGGGTGTGAAGCTGTAGTCGGCGTTCAGGATGGCTTGCATTTCCTCGAAATCGCTGTCGCGGTCGAAGGGGGTGTATCCGCAGAGGAGGAAGTATGTGATGACGCCGAGGGCCCAGACGTCTACAGGCTTGCCGTGGCCAATCTTCTTGAAGATCTCGGGGGCCATGTAGCCAGGAGTACCGCACGTCGTCGTCAACACGTGGAACTGCTCCTCATCCATAATACGACTCAGTCCAAAGTCGGCAATCAAGAGGTCGGCGTTATCTTCTGGCGTGCGGAAAAGCAGATTCTCGGGCTTCAAGTCTCGGTGGACGATACCGTGGTCGTGGAGGTAAGCAACGGCGGAGAGGGTGGCGCGGATGAGGTCTGCGGCGTCGGACTCGTAGTAAGAGCCTTTTCGGCAAATACGGTCGAACAGCTCACCGCCGAGGGCCAGATCGGTGACAAGGTAGAGGTTGTTCATCGTCTCGAAGTAGTCGACGAGGGTAAGGATGTTTTGGTGGCCCATGGAGACCTTTTTCAGGACTGCAATCTCGTTGCGGACCTGCAGAGCATGTTAGTCGGGTCGGACGCCTCAGAGTACAGCGAATCGGCGAACCATGTGTTCTCTGCCGGCCATCAATCGCTTGTTGATGACTTTGGCGGCATAGTAGCGACCGGTGTCGATGTGGACGCACTCCTTGACGACGGAATACGAGCCTGCACCGAGCGTCTTGCCGACCTTGTACCTGCAGGGCTGGACCTGAGGCTTGTCAGAGCCGTTCGTAGCCATTGTCGCGATTGTCTGTAGGGTATCGAGACGCAAGGTGAGGCCGCGAGGAAGCCCTGCGGTCGAGGGCTATCGGGGATGTGGTGGGTTGAAAGGTCGGTCGGGGGTCGCGAGATCAAATTGTTGGCGGGGTAAGCGCGGTCGGTGTTGGGGTCGCCTCAACTGCAGCTAGCGGTAGTTCGGTCTTTGGGTCGTCGGTCGGTCCTTTGTTTACGGGGAGCTGCAATGCTGGGGCAGGCTTTGAGCTTTCGCTTCGAGGTTGTGCTTCAAAGGCCGAGGTCGTGGTTTGTTGGAGGTTGCAGGAAGCAAACAGCTGCTGACGGGTCGGGCAAGGCGAGAAGTTGTGTGCTCGTTCTGCTTGGGCAGTTGGGCTGATGATCGACGGTCCCCGGCAGCGGCACTGCAGTGTTTGACTTCCCCTTCAGAGGGTCTCGCGGGGCTAATTTGAGCCAGGGATAATTGCGACCAGAGATAGATGAAGGGGGTAATGCGCTGTCACTATGACGCTATGTTGCAGATCAATCCGATGAGGTCTTCGAGCACGCGATACGCAGCAGATGCAGACTCGATGGACGGAAAGCAGCAGCAAACGATGGCGAGAGTGGGAAGAAAAGGCACAGCAAAAGAAGAGGAGGATTCGAGCTGAATTAGACGGTACGGGAAACAAACGAACGAGTGGATTCGTGTGTAGCACTAAAAAAATCCCGTGGGACTAAGGTAAGGAGCTTAGCGGTGCCAGCTGGAGACATAAGGGACTCGGGGTCCCGCAGCTAGCCCCGGAGGGTGAGACAGGTCGCTGGTTTGTCCCCAGCTGGATGCCGTTTTGGCCACTACCTTGGGGATTATCATCTCCCGACTTTCCCCCGCCAGACCTGACATGTGCCTTTATCATACCGTCCTCCTTTCGCTCGCGTTATTCTCCTCGAGCCAACACAGCCAGAGACGCGTCCACGATGGAGGTTGAGCGGTGACAGCCGCTTGAGGGTGGACGCGGCCCGGGCCCAGCCAGGAGTCCCAGGTCACAGCGAAATATGGCACCCGACAACACTCCCGGCGCGAGCACGGGGGTCCCCACCACTGCTGCTACTGGCCCGGCATGGGTTTTGAAGCAGCCCCCAAGAACCTCCTTGTCTGTTCTCTGCCGTCTTTCAGCCGCAGGCCCATCATTTCTGCCATAAGCAAGAACATTTTTATCTCTTTTGGCCGATATGAATGGCACGATGGTTGACGACTCTATCTTTGAACGCAGACGCTGAAGGATTCTCGGCATTCTCAGCTATCGGAGACATGGCCGTGCTTTCTACATTTACCTGGTACACACATCTTACAACTTCGTCGAGCCCCCTGTCGCATTACGCGATGGAGTTCACCTATTTGCATCAGTCAGTTCCCCAGCCCAATAGCATCAACTCATTTCCCGTGAGCCCACGGCGCAGTCCGTCTCCCTAAACATCGGAACCACGAACCAGACTCGCAGACGGCAATCCCGATTCTGTACTCCCCAAGACCTGAGTCAAAAGTTCAGGGTCCAAGCCTGACACCTCTTGCTTGCCGCCTGGCTGGCCCTTAGCTTAGCTAGGCCTGACCCCACCCGCGACGATGGGATGTTTGCGTGTCTCAGCCAACCATCGCAAGGCGAGCTGAAAGTTTGGGCACGTGTCGTGACTCAGGGCGGCTGTCCTTCCAAATTCCCTAGTGGCTAGAGCCGCATGGTGGTACTTTAATCGAAAGACGCCCGACGGTTCTGTTTCTTTGAGCTCAGGTGCTTCTTTTGCTTCAGCCGTCCTTCGTTGAAAGATTTGGCTCTGCGGGGATGTCAGCAGTTGATGCGGTGAAACGTGACATGTCAGCCCACATTTCTGCATGTTTCTTCTTCTTTTCATTGCTCGTCTCTCCTGGCACTGTTTCGCGGTATATCCTTTGTACCTCGTCGATGAGCTTTTGCTGGTTCTCATCCGAGTTGGCGGTCCTTTGACGATGCTCCTGAGCCTGGAACGTCAAGGAGTCCGACCTTGCCGTGTAGTACTTGGACTCTCTGATGCCCTGATGCAGCAGTTTCGGCAGCATTGGGAGGAGGTTCTTGACGGGCCAAGCAGTGATTGCTTTGCTCTCAGTTCTGGTCGGCGTTAGTAAATGGCCCATGCCTTGTCATCAAGCCCAGCAACCCATGCACGCGTGAATAAACCTACTTGTTGACATGTTGCCCTCCAGGACCGCTTGAACGCGCGTAACTTGTTTGGCCTTGTGGTAGTTGGCTTCCGTCAAACGTCTTGTGCCATGATCTCGCCTGCTTTAGTTCTTCCGGGTCGAAAGAGTCTTCGAAGGCCTGAAACCTTGCCCAACGGATGGCATGTATGGGCTGGAAAAGAGGTCTGAAGACTGAGGGCCGTGTGGACTGGATGAGGCTGGCTATTGTCGTCATGATGTTTGCAAAGTCGAAGTTTTCACAGACACCAAGGGCTAATTGGGCAAGCAGGCCGCTTCTATCCAATATGCTGTGTATGGCAGTGAAGAGCCGGTTGACCAATCACAGGCAAACAGAAGTGCCAAGAAGAGTGATGAATGCCGTCCTGCTGGTTTTCATTGACAATCATGCAATGTTGGTGGAGCTTGGTGATGAGCGAGAGCTGAGCCGTGCGTTTCGTCATCTTGCACCGTACCACACACGGCCTCTCGTTCGGGAATAGTGGCATCCGCCTACCACATACAGTTAGCGCCGTTTGTGGTTCTGAACCATTTTCCCGAGGTGACATTGGTCGACTCTGCAGCGACAGATCGGCCAGGCCAGGCCAGGCCCAACCCAAGGGCAAGCAGGCACAAGCACAAGCAGCCTTGTGGTTGCACTTGCAGTGGCAGACGGGAGCGACCTGGTGCGCGGGAAACGGGAAAGAGCTTGGGCTGCCTGCCTGCCTCCGCTCCGCTGCCTGCCACCCACCTTACCTTGCTCTGCACCTATCACTAGTAGGCAGCCCAGCCCAGCCCACCTACCGACTTCTTCAGATTTTTTTCCCACGCGGCCTCGTACCTTAATTCTGCTTAACCTTTTTTCCCACCACCGCAACACCCGTTGGCTCTTTCTCCAAGCTACATACAACCTGCGGCTACCTCTTTCCGAACCTCTCGGTGCCCACGGTTCTCAAGGCCCAACGCCAACGGTCTTCTCCCTCTACTCTACTCTTCTCTACACTCATCTCCCAGCCTGACCGACAATCTATCTACCCTTTCCGCCCTGGACACTAAGCTTTTCGAAGAAATTTGGTAAATTGCCTGCCATCCTTGGGAGAGCTGCCGATAGCTCTTTTTCTTTCGTCCGCTCATCGGAGACTCCCCCGTGTCTGCAATCTCTTCTTCTATTTCCGCCTGCTGCTCCCCCGCCTTCGTTTCCATTCCCCCTCTGGAAACCCCCCAAACCAATCAATCAACCGTGCTTGCCTGCCTTGCGCACATGACGACACTGCCGCGGCTCGACTAAAATCAGAGAAAACGAGGCGTCCGGTCGCCTTGTCGTCAATTATTTTTTGACTTAAAGCCCATCTTCTGATTCACTCCAACTTCCATCTCCCACCCCTCCGGACTCCCAGACTCTGAGCTTTGCCAATTCCGCCAGCCTCGTCCACCGGGCCCAGCGAGCTCACAGCTGTCGAGCCGCCCATCGTCACTCCCGCACGCGACCGCCAGCAACTTGATGCCCGAGCCAGAAGCCATTCCGGAGTTCCAGGCTACTGCCGCCGACCTCTCGCCTCTTTCTCCATCCCCTCTGCACTCCGCCGCTCCCGCCGTTGTGCCTGTCCTCCAGGATACTGCTGACATCCTCGATGCAATGTCTACCCAAACTAACGCAATCGCCCAAGGCGGCCTGAACGCAGTCGCTCCCGGGTACAAGGCTGCGGCTGAAATCACAAACGGCACCGCCAGCCATGACGCTGCTGCCAACGCCAACGACCAGGACGACGACGACGACAGCCTCAACGCCTATGGAGAGGAAGAAGAGACGAGCGCGGACAAGGTGCAGGAGCAACAAGTGGAGCAAGATGCCGAGGATGAATACCTCAAGTACCTCGACTCTCAGGTCGAGGAAGGCGCTGAACAGGATGATGTATCAAAGGCACCAGAATCCATGCACAATTCCGCCGCGTCTGATTCCTTGACAACCCATCAAGTGGTTTCTCCGCCCGTCGCTGATCCGTCCTCGGCCCGCCCTGCCGTCGCCCAGCAATCAAGCCCATCAGCTACCGCCACCTCGCGCGATGCCCACGTCGAGGATGACGCCGCCATTGAGATCTCTCAACTGCTCACTGAGATGACCGGCCAGGCCAGCGATGCCAACGATCAAAGCCCGGCTGGCTCCGTCAATGCCTCTGCCACTGCTCAGAACCATGAAGCCCAACCCGCCTCCAGCTTGTCATCGTCCGCCGCTGCCGCCACCCTTCCTCCAAGACCTCCAATGCCCACCCAGGCATCTGTCATCTACTCCAATCAGAACCCCCATCCATCCAGTACGGCCGCTCCGTACGTAGCCGCGGGTGCACCCGGCACCACGCCCGTCCAAATGACTGCGCCGCCGTACTCCAATCACCCTGATACTAATGACCGCAAGTCTCACTATGACCAGTTCCTCGAGGTCGAGCGCTCCTACATGGCGGAGGCCAAGTGGGATAAGTTTCCAGATGGCTCACGCATCTTTATTGGTTCGCGCTCTCTCTCATCAGGCCGACCTGACGGCGCCATTGACTTCTTTTCAGGCAATCTGTCGAGCGAACGTGTCTCCAAACGCGACGTATTTGAAATCTTTTGCAAATACGGCCAGCTCGCCCAGATCTCCCTCAAGAGTGCCTATGGCTTCGTCCAGTATCACAACCTGGAGGATGCCCAAGCTGCTATGAACAACCTGCAGGGCATCGAGATCAAGGGACGCAAGATCCGTAAGTGTTTCCGTGCGGATTGAGCATGAGGCAGAGCTAATCTATATCCATCAGACCTTGAGTATTCGAAAGTACAAAAGAGCAAGGGCGGCAATGAGCGCAATCGTTCACCCGACCGCGGTGGCCGTGGTGGTCGGCAATCAGGCCGTCAAGACCGGCATGAGGGAGGCCACAACGACCGACGTCGGGACGACTACAGACCTGGTCGCAACGCATCTCCTCGCCGGAACGGCCACGCTAGAGGCGACAGCTACGGCAGAGATGGTCACGGCCGGGACCGCTACTACGACGACCGTTCTCGAGGCCGCTCCAGATCCCCCCAGAGCCACGGTCGCAACGACAATTACCGCTGGCGCGAGCCCAGCCCGCCCAAGGCGTATGAACGGCCTGGTGCAGAGCTTGACCTCCCTCGCCGCTACGGCAATGACGTTCCGGACGTCCAAATCCTTCTTCTCCAAGAGCTTGCCAACGAATTCGTCGCATGGGTTCAGCACCCCTTCACCGAAAAGGGCCTAAAGGTTGCTGTCATGTTCTTCAACCCCAGATTCCCTCGCGAGGCGCTCATCTCACGACTGGCTGCGGAGGGTGTGCACGGCGTCGTCGATCTCGACATGCAGGCTCATAATTACGGAAGGATTCCCTTAAGAGTTTTCAAGCAAGCCCCTGGTGGCCAAGCCATGTTCGAAGACTATGACAACATTGAGCCCAAAATCGCGGCAGAGCTCGTCCTCAGGCAAAAGGCCAGTGCAGCCCCGCCATACCAGCCTCCCCCTCAGCAGCCCTACCCGGGCTACGGTGGTCAACCTTACGGAGGCCAGCCTCCTGCCCATGCGCCCGCCTACCCTCTCCAGGGACAGCGCCTCCCGCCTCAAGCTGTTCCTCAGGCCCCAGCCGTTAACCAAGCCGACATTGCAAGCATTATGAGCGGCGTCGACAACACCACTCTGCAGCAGCTGCTGGCGCATTTTGGCGCGCAAGGAGGTGCACATGGCGGACCTGCGGCCGCGCAGATTCAGGCAATGCTTGGCGGTCTTCAAGCAGCACCTGCATCCGCGCCTCAGCCTGCTTCGTACGGCGGCCAGGCTTACGCCGTCAACGGTGCCGCAAACGGCCATACCAACGGTCATTCCCCTTCTGCACCCGCGGGCGGCGATCAGGCCGCGCAGGTTGAGAACATTATGGCCCAGCTGGCTAAGTACCGACGGTGAAACTGAAAAGTAGCGCATTGTGGAGTTTGACGAAGACATGACGGGTGGGGCTCTGTATGTTTAAAACAGGCGTTCGGACTACAAAGACTACGGTCGGAAAGTGATTATAGATTCAAGCAGTGCGGGGCTTTCGTAGCCCTCGATTTACCATCAAAGTACCGTGCTCTCTTCACCTTGACTGGCCGCCAGGAATATCGCGGTTGAAAACCGATGATGTGATAGCACGAAGATGTATTTTTTTTAAGATTGCCATAACTGTGGCCTCAGCTCAGCTCAACAAAGACAAGAAACCATCTCATAACTCATGTCAAACGTCTTTTTTCCCGCCAGGTATCTTTAGGCAATTCACAAAATTCTTATAGCTTCTCAGCAGGCTTGTTGAGGAATGCTGTGCACTCAATCTCAACATCCGTACCGAGGGGAAGCTGATAGACGGCAACACAGGTGCGGGCCTTTTTCGATGTCAGAAATGCTCACCCCAGGATCGAAAATGGGGACGACAACTCACAGGCTTGGGGTCAAAGGTGAAGAACTCGTCGTACGCCTCGTTCATGGTCGCAAAGTCGGCCATCTTGGTGATGTAGACGTTGACCTTGACGGCGTTGCGGAGGCTGCTGCCGGACGCCTCGAGGACGGCGGAGAGGTTCTTGAGGGCTTGGCGCTGGGTTGGGTTTCAGATTTGATACGACTCAAAAGGGTTGGCCGTTGGTTTCAAGATGAGGGATTATGATGAGACGGGGGGAGATAAGACGTACAGTGCGGTCCTTGATGGTTCCTTCGGCCTGGACCATGCCGGGCTTGTCGGGCAGGATACCAATGTTGCCAGAGCAGTAGACCATGCCGTTGTACTTGATGGCCTGGGAGAATTGCGGGAGGGGTGCCGGGGCGGCGGTGGTGAGGACCTTTTCGATTTGAGCCATTATTGCGGTGTTCTGGGGTTGACTTTGTGGTGAGTCGGGATTAGTGCACCGCGATTATTACTGAGACTTATAAAGAAATGGCTTAGATGGTGGTTTGTCAGATTTAGATGTTGTGAGTTGAGGTTGAGAGATGATAAATCAATAGCACTCCGGCGCGGGGTCGGAGGAAGAGTGGGGCATCGGCCGCGGCGCGATAGGCCGGGCAGGGAGTGGAAGGGCGTAGTTGATGGCTTTGCCATACCAGAGGCCTTTCAACTGAATTTTTTTGGTTGCTCAGCCTAATTTCAATTGTCGTTTCTGAGAACCACGAGGACCTTCGGCACAAGACGGACGCCTTACTCACATGTAACTGTTAGTATGTACTAGGGTATACTCATGGCTTCAATCAAAGACGCTTCATCTTCATCAGGGTGAACTAGACGGAATGTGAACTTTCTCGAGATTTCTCACATACCGATGCTCAATGTAAATGGCCTCGTAGAAGTACTCTCGGATCAATCATACGAAGTAAGGCCCATAATGCGCTCTTGTCCTAGCGAGTTCAACGGGGCTGTTGGCCGCGGGCCGGAGAAATGTGGAGCATCATGGTCAGCCGAAGCCGGCGCGCCAGCCGAACGTCACATTGTTGCGCCGAAGTCCTCAGAGGCCGTCGCGTGGCCGTCTATGAATTGAATTCTATGTGACAGTAATTAGAAGTTCTCAAAGTAGAGGGAAAAGCAGTTGAAAACATCCCGCTAAATACTAGCTGCGACCGGAATATCCTTCTCCTTTCACAATGCATACGACTTTCTATCCAGAACTTCCCTTGATTCGAGATTGCAGGATATTTTCCGCGCTCAAACTTCCGAGCCGAGTAGCCATTTCCAACGGAGTTTCGCCGTCTAAGCCTGGTATTGTAGGATTGGCGCCCCTATCCAGCAGTAGGCAAACGACTTGATTCAAACGGCTTGATGGCCGTGAGCCTATAGCTCCTAGGAGGGGCGTACATCCATGTCTGTCGGACATGTTCGGGTCAGCTCCAAGCTCCAGAAGCCAACTGATGAGAACGGGTACATGTGCTTTTGCTGCATCCACGAGCAAAGTCGGCACAAAATCACGTCCTCGGGGTGAAACGCCGTCTTCAACTTCTGATATGAACCGTTTGGTTTCTTCGTTGAATTTCTGCCGCAAGACTAATTCAAGAAATGTATTCCCTGTGTAGTCTTCATGCATGAGATTTGTACCAGCACTTAATAGTAAGTTTGTCAAACTTATGGCACGCTGATGGGTTTGATCGATGTCGAACAAGGCGGTCCGACCTATGCTGTCGATATCATTTGGGTCCGCATCGAAATCAAGTAATACTTGCACTAGAGCCGGGTCTCCCCTGTGGACAGCAAGACGAAGGGCGGTTGGGCCTTTCCAATCCCCATACCGAGCACTCGCACCCTTCTCCAGGAGCATCCTGACGATGGTGGGTTGACCAGTGAGTACGGACAGGTAAAGAGGACTGATGAAGCAACAAAATTGATTTATGTCCACTCCTTGGTCGAGAATGTTCTGGATGGACACTTCATCTCTTGATGTGATTGCTTCTAGTAGAGAGCAGAGAAGCTGATGATCTCGGTCGCAATGAAGTTGGCTCGCCTTGACCTCAAGGATGACCTTCCCATTATCCATAGCGTATTTGAGATAAGTGAGATCCCGGTTGTCTCTGCAATCCCTGGTGATGGACTTGTTTTCGACGAGGACTCTGATTACTCGTTTGGCTCTGAAAATGATGGCTTGGTACAAAATGCCGTTGACTTTGGTGTCCATATCGAGCAGAAGCTCGACGATATGCTGCCTGTCGGTTTTAATCGCGTACTCCAGAGGACAATATTTAAGGTTTTGGTCAACCAGATTGATATCCGCGCCCCCTTTAACAAGAAGCTCGACAATGTCCATTCTGTCAAGTTGAACTGCGTAATGTAGAGGAGATTGAACGTGGCTGATCAGATTGACGTCTGCACCTCTCTCAATTAGAAGCTCGACGATGTTTGCCTTATCGACTTCAATGGCGTAGTGTAAAGGAGGCTTCCAATTGCGGCGGGCCAGAATGACGTCGGCACCTCTCTCAATCAGAAGCTCGACCATACGTCCATGATTAGCTTCGATGGCATAGTGTAAAGGAGGCATGGAAATGTGGTTAACTAGATTGACATCTGCGCCTGCCTCGATCAGAAGCTCGGCGATATCTCCCTGATCAAATTTAATGGCTCGGTGCAAAGGAGGCGTTTGCTGGCCGCCGGCTAGATTGACGTCTGCACCTCTCTCGATCAGAAACTTGACGACATCATACTCGCCAACTTCAACAGCGTGGTGTAAGGGAGATCTGAAACGACCGGGGCCAACCAAATTAACATTCGCGCCCCCATCAATCAGAAGCTTCACAAAGTTTTGGTCCTCGTGAATAGCCAAATTCAAAGGCGACTCCGAGTATGTGGAGACTGCATCGGGGTCGATACCGTTTTCCAGCAGTAACCTGGCTGTTGCAACTTGGTTATTATCACAAGCCCTGAACAACGCATTCTCACCGCTGATATTCCTCTGGTTAACATCTGCCTCTTGGCGTTGGCAAGCATGTCTCCAGTCTCCTTCAGCAGGTGTTGCTGAGGACAAGCGCGAATGCCGCACATCCTGATGTTGTTTTGTAGAGACGTGCTTTGAAAGAAGAAGCCTGGTGATCTGGAAGTTCGTTCCGGCAGCTTTCAAAAGCAAGGGATTTTGATATTTGTCTTTCGTGTTGGGATTGACTCCTGCATCAAGCAACAGCTCTACAATGCCGGTATGCTGTTTCTCTACTGCTGTCATGAGAGCGCTTTCCATCTGCTGAGGCGATTCTGAAACATTTCCTAACACAATATGACGCATCCAAACTTGTACCGTAGTGGTATGGCCTAAGTGAACGGCTGCATGGAAAGGCGACGAGAACCGCTGGGATGAATTCTGGCTTCGCTTCTCATTCTGATGAGGTAGCATGTCCTTCTGATGAAGCGGTGTATCTTTCTGACGAAGCAGCATATCGACAAGTGATGCCATTCCAAGCTCCGCGAAAATATACGAGGCAGTTGTTGAGATGTTGTATCGTCGTGTTTTGAACTGTTCAAGTAGGTTGTGGAGCCGAATCCAGTCTAGTAGTTGAAACTTTCGAAAGAATGATTCCTGGGGAAGTCTCATCCGTTCCACAGCATCGCAATGATATAGAACGTGGTTCGTGGAGTAATCGAGGAATGGGAACTTCCGAGTAGCGTCTAACTTGAGGCCCTTTGCCGAATCAGTGTCCTTATCTAGAAAGAAGTCGTCATCCGAAATATATGGATAATTGTAGACTCCCATATAGGCATGGCAGCAATCCCTGAGTCGTTCATGGCTTCTGCCTTCAGGGTTGTCCCCAAGTTCCGGCCACAAAGACTTGAGGCCGTCTTCCTTGAGAAGGAAATCCCGTACCGATTCGTGGATAAACTGAACTGTCGATTTCTTTGATTTCGTTGTTTCAGCAAGCCCTTTCGAGGAACTGACCACGTAGTGATTCATGGAATCTGTCGAGATTTTCTCTCGATTCCACCCGCAAAGACTATCAGAATCAATGCCAGCCACCAGTGCGAAGTAATACTCTTCAGGCTTCAGAGGGCGCTTGCCGAAAAGTAACCACTGAATGCACAATAGAAGCTCTCCCATATTCTTCTCGTCTCTCATCAAGATATTTTTGAACAGATTACTCAACTCTGGAGGTATCTGTTGAAGTCTCTTTTTCACCGCAAAAATACGGCCATCTTGAAATTCCTGATTGAGAATGTCGACGACCAACACTACCCACATGAAAACCCCGGACGCTTTCCGAAGTATCTCTTCCGTGAGCTCATCCGCCTGCGTTTTTGTCTCGGTTCTGAGCTTGCTTCGCACGTACTTTTTCAGGTCCTGCTCATGGCCTGGTTGATTTTCTAAGGTGAATCGGATACCGTAGACAACGTCCATACGGGGGTAATGGCGGCTGGAAAAGCAAACATAGAACCCGATGTTGTTTTGGACAGCACATTGTCCTAAGTCTTCAAAAAAGTCTAGTAGCTGTCTGACTTCGCTCTCGTCGCACTCGTCGAGGGCATTAATGAAGCATGTGACTCGTCGTTGGTCGAGCTTTGATACTGCCGTCGAGAAGAGTTTTCGCAATACAGACAGATCCCAGGAGCCCGAGTCTTTTCGGAGGAACGCTCTACAATCTGCATTGTCTAGCACTTCCTGTAACTCGGGAATTTTCTCTAATAATTGAAGTAGAAGAGATCTGTGCATTCCTTCAGTCGATTTCTCAAGCAAACCTCCTCTGGCGTTGAAGAAGAAGGATATCGTGGCAGCATCTTTTGTTGCCTTCTGCCCTGCACGCGAGTAGGCATATTTCATAAGGGTAGATTTTCCTGCTCCTGGCTTTCCCCGAATCCAAAGGATGCCATGGTGACTGGCGAAACTTTTGTCATCTAGCCAGCGAATGTAGTCAGGATGCTTCAGCAGCCATTGACATGTTTTGGTATACGCAGATTTGATGGTTGAATGTCGACTGTCTATTTCTTCAAATCTCAAGGTTTCAAGGAAATCATTCCGATGATCGAATAGCGACGTTTCGTCTACATCAACGTCAATATTCGGTCACAATTGCTGTGGTTGGAAAAACACTGACGAGAGGATACTATATTGACATCCGCCATGGAGTCCTGGTGGATTTCTTCGGACGGAAAGACAGAAAGGAGCTCCTTTGCATAGGCTGCTGCGGTCGCCGCAGCATACTCTTGCCATTGCTTGGCCTTGTGTGAATCTGAATAATCACAGATCCCCCTAATGACTAGGCATGGAAAGCTATCCATCAGGCCGGCCGCTTCCATCTCGAAGCAGAGAACCTCAAGCTCATGTGCGAGACGATGCCGCGTCTGCCCATGTTTCATGACCTGATTTGCGGATGCAATGACACCGTAGTGAATCTTCGGGTAGTTGTTGGACCTAGGGCCCCGTATCACCAGCTGTGACAAATCGCAGTCGTCGCAGCTCTCCCCAACGTGATCATATGTGGCTCTATAAAGTCGGTCCTGTCCAGCTCCGCGGTATGTGTACGCATCCATCATGATGTTTCGTTCTCTCATGCCTGCGAGAAATTCTGGCATTCGACTAGGAGACAGCTGATGGTCGGCTCGCAACTTGGCGACTGCGGCAAGAACGTCGTGTGGAGGCTTGTTTAGTGTTCCTGAAAGTTGGAAACGACCTGCCTGAACAGTTTTCCCAAAGTCGTACTGAATGACTCCAGGACAAGCCGCAGTCGGATTGCTGACCACGACATCGCCGAGTCGGATGTCAACTTTATCGGGCACACCGCCACCGATACCGACCCTGAGTCGTATTTTGATTGAGGGAAAGCTCCAACGCATGTTGTTTGCAACTAATGCGGCACTGGTGATGCCGTACTGCCCTGATGGCTGGCATGCGATGACAATGTTGTGGTTTCCTATGTTGCCAAAGGCATAGACGTTGCTGTCGTTTGGGTTCATCGATAGAGGCAGATGGACGTTGTCGAGCATCGCTTGCGCAGCGGCCATCTCGATGGGAAGAGCCGCGACCCATCCGACAGTATACGCATCATGCGACAACAGTTTTAGAACTCCGGTCGAAGAATCGCTATCTCCATTACCGGACTCGTTCAACCTAGCCCTCTTCCTCGGAGTATGATTGCGATCATCGTCCGCAATGGCCGAGTCCCATGTTCGCCTCCCTTGGTGGGAGGCATCCGCGTTAACATGATGCGACGCGAGTACGTTGCTATTGTGATGTCTATCGTATGCCGACATTCTCCTAAAGACGGAATGCGAATCGAAGGAGCCTAACGTAGCCTTGTCCCCTCGACGGGCTGTGGACAATAGGCATGCTCAGATGGAGATCGGGAACGTGTTGTCCAGTACAGCGACAGGTATTGAAATCTACAGTGACGTCTTTGAGCTGTTTGGAGAGGCAGGTGTCAATCGGAGACGAGCGAGATGGCAGTCGGGTGCTGAAGACAGACAAGAGTTGAAATGGGGCGGAGTGTTGTGAGCACGCCGCAGCGATGCCTCGGGTATAGTTCATTTGCTACAGTTGCACACTGCCTCCATCCAACGTGATCAACGGGGCGCTTACCGCTGTCTTGCGTCGAAATATCTACCATGCTTCCTGTGATTGGAGGCGAAATGGGTCCAACATGCAGGCTCTGCGGCGCAGCGCCCACCTACACTACGGATTTCCCTCCTTCGTGGCCAGAAGTTGACAGTTTGTGAAGACTCAGCGTCCGCATTCTAGGTCTCGCTTCTTCATGTTCCTCTGGTGGATTCTTCTGAAAACGCATATCGCCAAATAACGTTGGCGGGAATATCCTCTGCCAATGATACCACATCAAAGCCGTCACGATGGTTACTGGAATGGCGACAACCCAGTACACCCAAAACTTGTCAGACATAAGCCACTCCCCTGAGCCAGAGTCAAACTCGAAGAAGGTAGTGCTGAAGACGGCAGAGACGAAAGTGGCTGGAAGAAACAGTAGGGTAAGAAAGGCGACCGTCTTCATAGCTTCGCTATCTCTTTGTGCCGCGCGGCCGATATCGACCGAGACTCCAGAATCGAATTGAGCGACCATGTTGAAGGCAAGTGCAATCTCGTTGAGAAGGCGCGCCTTGTTCGAGGCGGACCTCTCTTGCAGGCTGCCGAGCATATCCTCGAAGAACAGCAGGCGACTGTTGGCGTGATTCCAGGCCCTCTTCCAGGCAGCATCAGGCTGCGCCCCGCTCCAGTCTGCCTTAATGGTCCCGTGTTGCACCAAAATCTGCCTGGCAGCCTTCACAGCTAATTCTAATGTCTCGGAAACATGAATGGCATGCCGGGCAGTCTCGTGCAAATGCCGGTAGTCGGGGGCCGGTTTTGGCTTTGTCGGGCCGTCCCTCTCCTTTTCTGTGTTCCTCACGGTATCGCGCACCGACCAGACGGCGGCATCTTGCAGAGTGACGACTTTCTCCAAGATGCGAGTATATATCCAGTATGGAGTTATGTAGCTGTGTTCATCTGGGATCGCGAATAAAGGATCCGGCTCGCCAACCGGCACTCGCTCAACGCAGCTTGCCGTGGGCGGATGAAGGTCGAAAACGATGAGAATTGTTTGTTGTGTTTTTGCGATCCATCGCGTGAAGATGTTCAGCTTGAACCATTCGTACCCTGGATGGTATTTGTTTGTCAATTTGATGGGAAATCGTGCCCATGTATCTGATACATATTAGCTTCTTCAAACCGTGGCGGCCTGGCAACGTACTCAACCCGGTCTCCTCGCCCTCATCGCCAACCGTCACCTCGTGGCCAAAGTAGGCGTTGGCACCTTTGCAATACCCTTTCCACCATAGATCTGGTATCTCAAATACGGAAGAAAACTGCTTGCGGCAGTTTTGACATTGGCGAATTTTAAGGGCTTGGGCCTCACTGGATGAGCGTTAGCAGAGAGAATCGTGGATGATCACCGCACGCACATGATGCAAACATCAAAGTCAGCCGTTGGCAGTATTTGGCCTTGCTGTGATGATTCACGTCTGAATTCTGTCCAGTTTTCCCCGGTTCCTGTTGGTTTGGTTAGCTTGACACGATCAGAGATCGATGGATGCGTACCTTTTTTCCAGCAGGAGAACTTCAGCTCATGGCAATTTGCGCAGGTCTTATTATCCATGGTAACGAACTTCAGGACGAAGAAGATGACTTGAATGTGTTGAACCCGGGCAACGACAAGATGAGAACAACGATATGTAAATCATCTTGAAGATCAGGCTTTAGTGAGGGGACGGCAAGTCCGCCCCATGGTGCTGCATGACCAGGCCGCAATTGTGGACCAGGGCGACAAACGCCAATCACGTTGAGTGACGCTGTCGCAGTGGTTGACTGTGTCGTTTGCCTTATCGCCCGAGAGTGACCCGTGACATCGTCGCACAAGAAACGATGCTCGTGTTTCCATTTTGATCGTCGATGAGTCTTTCAAGATGCAGTCGTAGTCGTTAATTACGAAGGCTGGCCTCTGTAAGGAGGCTTAAATCGGGGAAACGGACGAGAGAAGATAGGGAATATGAGACCACGAGACCACACAGGTGAGTCGCGACGCAAATCTCAATCAAATTGGCAGGCGGCACATGCAGCATCAAGACATTGTCGTCTGCAGAGAAGAAATAAAGTGGAAGAATGACGCTTAGTCGGTGCCCAGAGGAGGGTCCCTCCATCTCAACTCCGACGCAGGGTTCTCGCGGGATGCTTGGGGCAGCCTCCACTACGAAACGGGGTCGATGGGGGGATAGCTCAGGGGTCAGATCGCTAGTCTCGATCTCATGGACCAATCAGAAACCCCCGTTTTCAAGCAGGCAATCACGGCTGGTTGACGCGAGCGCTGAAGGGCGCGCCTCCGGGAAGCTTGTGCCGCTGGGACCTGAGCAAAAGAAGCCAGCTGGAAGGAACCGGCGTTCGTACCTGTGTATGATCCTCGTACCCCCGCGCCGTAAATACGTGGAATGTGAACCTTCGCAACTCCAATCCTTTGATTAACAATCCGCTTCGGTCCGAGCTTGCGGATAACCTCCATTCTCTTAAAGACCAACCTCCATGTCACCCATGCGGTTCTGAGCAGCAATCCCGGCTTGATCTTTTTAGCCATCTTCCCCATCGTCGTCCGTGAGATCCGCCGAGATCAACCATGGGTTGGCCGTACAAATTTCTCGACCTATCCCGCGAGGAGGTCCAGTTGAGACGGCAGACCTTGGACCGGTACGGCACGTATGCCCAGTTCTCGGCTTTGACGCCCATCATCCTGGCTCTTCTCCTTCGTTTGTTCGTCTATCTCAAACAGCGGGTACAATCGAGCGCCGCCTACGATGCAGTTCCGGATTCTCCAGACCTGAAAGCCAGGAGGCAAAGCTGGGTTGGCAATCTGGATGCGAATGTGAGGAAAGTGAAGTGGTGGCTGAACGATGATGTCTACTTTATGGGACAGCATTGGGGTCAGAAGGACCAATGGGTCTTTAGTGTTGCTTGGTTCGCTTGGCTGCTTGTTCTGTCTACCTTGGAGACTGGTGAGGGTAAGTGGCAATCCTTTTCATTCGTCAATGAGAGACTCAATGGGTTTGGAGAAGTTGCTTGATGATAATTTGGTCAATTTGCCATAACAATTGGACGTACTGACGCCTCACAGACTATCTCCACATCACGAAACGCTTCGGTATCGTTGCCGTGTCACAGATTCCATTCCAGTATCTGCTGGCCTTGAAGAGCTTCAGTCCCATCGCCAAAGTCTTTCGCACTTCCCACGAGGAGCTGAACAAATGGCATCGAGTATTGTCTCGAGTGACATTGTCACTTCTCGTCCTCCACGCTCTCTTTTACCTCAACTTCTTTGTCGCCAAGGGTATTGTGACAAGCCGTCTGTTCGCCCCCGTCGTCTTTGCCGGTGTCGTCGCCTTTGCAGCCATGAACATGATGACTTCGACCGCCACTGTCGCTATTCGCAAGTACTCCTACCGAATCTTCTTCATCACCCATTTAATTGGGGCATTTGCTATCCCGCCATTGGTTTTCTTCCACGCCAAGTCCTCTCGGCTGTTCATGGCCAAAGCCATCATCGTGTTCCTCATTGACCTCGTTGTACGCCGTCTGCGCACCGTCATGGCCTTTTCCAAGCTAGAGACTATCCCTGGGACCAACCTGGTCAAGATCTCAGCTTCAATCCCTCAGTTCAAGGTCAACGCTTTCCGCAGCCGGCCGGGGTCCCACATCTATCTCAGCATCCCCGCCGCCGCTAGACCCGGTGGCGGTCACTCGTCTTCGGAAGCTTTGCTTTACGAGTTCCTCTTCAACCCCTTTACCGTGGCTTCTGTTGACGAGGAGACCGGTGACTTGACCCTCGTTGCTCGCCAACTTAACGGCCCGTTGACCCAGCACCTTGGCTACTTTGCAAACGCGGGAGGCGGCAGCGACGGGAAGATCCCGCTCTGCATTGAGGGCCCCTATGGCGCGGCATCTATCCATTTCGACAAACTCATCGGCTCGACCGTCGATCGTGTTTTGTTGGTGGCTGGCGGCGTGGGAGCCACCTTTACCGTGCCCATTTACCAGGCCATCCTCCAGGATAACCCGAGTGCCAAGGTCGAGATGGTCTGGGCCGTCCGGGGAGCCGGTGACGCAACTTGGGCCATGACCACCGACAAGTCGCCCAAGAGCTTGCTTGAGGATAGCAACGTCCAGATTTTCTTGACGGGCGACTCCCTCAACTCCGCTACCACGGGCCCCATGGCCGGCGTACCCGCCGAGACCAACGCAGACGGCGAGATGGAGATGAACCCCATGTACCGTGACCGCACGCGAAATCTCTTCACAGCGGACCACAACCGCAAGCGCCCCAACCTGAGGAATATTGTCGACGACTTCTTCAGGCAAGGTGCGGAGGAGAGGGTGGCCGTGCTCGTGTGCGGGCCCACGGAGATGGGCAGGGAGATGCGGGAATATGTCGGAGCATGGGTCATGAGGGGCCGCGAAGTGGTGTGGCACAATGAGGCCTTTGGATGGTGACCTGCATGTTTGTGCTTTTTCTGCGGGCTGAAGATTTGGACAGTTTCATATATACATTGGAAGTCCGGGGCTTGCGTATACATAATTCGGACTGCTTAGATATAAAAGTAACACTTGTTCACGCTTTTGGAATTGTACAATCAACATTAAAGTCATGGCACATATTTCAAAAAGCACCATCAGAAACCTAGGCAATTTTTCTCTATGACGAAACACGCTACTAGGATGAAGCCTTCCGAACGCCAGATCGTAACTCCGTGGTCATCCATCATACATCAGTCTCCCTGTTTTCGTGGAGTATGCACTATTCAGCCCGCTTCTTGGACTCGCCAATGTCTCCAGAGTCAATGTCCTTGCCCTTGACTCCGCCAATATCACCGTCGGCATCGTCTTCGTCCCAATCGTCCACCTGATTTTCGTCCCAGTTGTCCACCTCTTGCTCAAGCGTCCGTCCACTGCTGCCGCCCACGTCGCCGCCGTCCCTCGCACCACTCGACTCGATGACGCCCGTCTCGTGGCCCTCGCCGAGCTCGACGTCCTCGTCATCCTCGCCAGGAACGGGTGCGTACGTCTTGGTGCGGCGTTTACGTTCGAGCATACGCTTGTGGTACCATGAGCAAAGCCCTATGCTCGCCAGGGAGCCTACGACGTTGGCAACAATATCGTAAAAGTCGAACTCGCGGCCGTTGGGGAGGAAGCCCTGCAGGAATTCGGAGCCAACTCCGAGTACGAACGTGCAAACGGTCAAGGTAAGGTTGAGGGTACGGCGGCGGTTGGTATCGAGGATCCAGTAGAAGACGAGGGTCAGGAGGAAGAATGTTGCAAAGTGCAAGACCTTGTCGTTTACGTATTGGCCCAATTGGAGGGAGGTCAGGCCTGCGTAGCCGGCGACGAGGAGGAGGGCGAAGAAGACGCCTGCAAGAGACCAGTGTTAGCTAAGAATATCCCTGGCAGACATGGGGAGCTCGATTCGGATCTGCGAGATGGATGGATCCCACCCAGATGGAGGGCTAGATCCAGGGCCAGCTGAAGCTTTTGACGCACCTGCAAAGGGCAAGCGTATCCGCATTTCGAAGGGTCCTGCGGCTCTTGCAGGGTGTGGTTTGATTGGGTGGGATGCAGTGTATGTAGCTCGGTTCGTGGTCGAAGTGTGCGTTATGCGTGGGTTGACTCGGTAAGGGTAGCAGTAGCTTAGCTACTAGTTGTCATGATGGGACGGGATGATCGAAGTGGTTGCTCGAGGCGAGAGAGAGAGAGAGCACGGCGAGACAGTGCAGGTAAGGTAATGAGGAAAGGGTATTCGTAATGGGGTTCGTCACAGCCGAGGGTGTGAGGTGTGTCCAGCTGGCCGGAGCTTCCAGACGACTGGATCGGGAGGGAGAGAGAGCTTTTGCTGGGCTGCCAGGTATTGGATTGGATTGCTGCGGGAACAAGCACCACCTCCTCCATCCACTGGCATCGGGCAGAACTCAGCCCACTGACGAAAGAAGATGTGCACCACAAGCTGGTGGCGGGCGGGACCTGCTGGACGCCCCAGGCTGCGAGGGACGAGGACAGGGGTATGCCCCCGAGGTTTTTTTTGGGGTCGGTACTAGGTGGCCCGGGCGGGTTATCCCGTGGGCCGTGGAGGGCATGGAGAGGAGCGCGAGTCGCGATGTCTCGTCTGGGAAGACGCGTGGTGGCCTCTTTATATGGCGGATGGTGAAATGTGAAGGTGCAGCGGGATGAGGGTGTCGCAACAGCGGTGGTGGATTATCAAAGTGGTCGCCGAAGCGCACCGGACTGACCTGTGCAGTCAGCACGCATCACCAGCCCGGCGTAGCATTACAGAGCCTGCCGCAAGCCAAACTCTGCTGTTCACTTGCTGGGCTCATTGTCCACAGCGACGGGTTGGTCATCCGTCACGTGACGACATCATACGCGATCCGATCGCTGGGGATCCAAGGGGGAAGGGGAGTGCGGTGGCCTGGTCGCCTCGCGCCGTCGTCGGCACTCGAGGTTCCTGTACCTGCAGTCGGCGACCGCGACACTCAACATGACCCCAGTGCACGTCTTTTCTGGGTCCGAAAAATAGATGAAAGTGGTGATTAGCAGTAAAAGAAGCCTCCCTGTGATTTTGGGATTGATGCGACAGTGCGGGTGGCACCCGTTGCTCGCTCGTAGGTGGCCGTCCAAAGTCCTCTGTACCGCACCCAGCGGCCGGCTCGCCGTGTTCAGGCAAGGGAAAAGTTCCATCGCGTACACTTGGTACGAGCCTCTCCAAATCCTCAACCTCACCTCTTGGAACAACGCCAAAACCCCCCTATTACAATCCATCAGAACATCACAACCGCAACCCGTCGCACCCTCAGATTCCGTCGGTCATCTCTATCGATGTCGCTCTTTTCACTGATGCGATCGTAACACCCCTTTGCCGCCCGGACTCGGTCCCTGACGAGCGCATTTTGTTGCGCATGGCGACACTCGGCCCGCTTGTCGCTATCATCAACAAGGGCTCAAGATGTCCCTCCCCAACGGCCAGCACGCATGGCAACCGCCCTCTCTCCATCACCAATCCTCCAGTCGCTTGTTCCATCAACTTGATGATGGTTCCCAGCGAACTGGAACCCCCGTCGACAACTCCATGGCTTTGATGCCTGAGGCACAACCTGATATTGAAGATGAGCGACGCCGCGCCTTGTTCAAGGATCTCTATCACAAGAGCGAGTCAAAGATCTCGCTGTTATTTGCTGATGACGGTTCATACAACTATCCCGCCATCGATGCCCTTCGCCGCCCCTCCGCCCCCTCCCCCTCCATCTTACCCCCTACCACCGACCATGCGCCGATCCAGGAGCCTCCATTAAAGAAGGCCAAGCGGGTCATCGACGAAGACGACTATGGCGATGACGACGACGAAGACGATGAAGACGCGACGGATGCCGACGCGCACAAGTCGAAGAACGGCACCGCGGCTGCCGGCGCCGGCTCCCTCCTCTCCCCCTCCAAGTCCGGCAGTTCGCCCGTGCACTCCGTGAGCTCACCCGGCAAGCAACTCGATAAACTCAAACAAGCCGACGGGTCCCAGGACCTCGCAAAGACCAGCGAGGATGCGCGCAAACAGTTACAAGAGGCGCGCAACGCGACCGAGGAGGCCGCCAGACGCAGCTTCCATACAGTATTCTATACCCTCGAAAACGACCGCACCGCCATGCTCGAGCAGCAACAGCTGGAAGAATCAGAAAAGCAGTTGCAGGCAGAGATGGAAAACAACAATAACCATACCACTACCAACGGCGCCCAAGCCGAGAACCACGGCTCGCTCAGCAGCGCCAACCTCGGCGCGTCAAGTCTGACCCTCAAGCATCTGATTGCGAGGATAGACTTGAAACGCGACCAAGTTCGCGCATCAGACGCGGAACTGCGATCATTGATGAACGAAGTACGAAAGAACCGAAGTAAATGGGCGAGCGAAGAGAACGTCAACCAAGAAGAGTTGTACGAAGCCGTCGAGAAGGTCTTGACAGAATTGAAGGCACATACGGAATACTCGACGCCCTTTTTGCAAAGGGTGAACAAGAGGGATGCGCCTGATTACTACATACGTAAGTCTCTAGGCAGACGGATTTCACCAGGATTGGCTAATGACCCCCGCAGTGATCAAGCAACCGATGGACCTGGGAACCATGACCAAGAAGCTCAAGTCTCTCACGTACAAATCCAAGGCGGATTTCGTCACCGACCTTAACCTGATATGGGACAACTGCCTGAAATACAACCAAGACATGGGACACCCTCTCCGCCGCATGGCCAATGGAATGAGGAAGGAGGCAGAGAAGCTTATCCCCCTCATCCCAGACCTTGTCATTAGGCCACGAGCCGAGGTCGAGGCCGAAGAGCGACGGAAGCAGAATGGCGGCGAAGAAGACGGCGGTGATGACTCAGACGACGAGCCGATCATGTCATCTCGTGGGCGTACAGCAGGCACCAAGGGCGGCAAGTCCAGAAAACAGCCAGCCGACCAGAAAGAGGGCACACCGAGTGTCGATCAGAAGCCGCTGCTCCAACTCAACGGTCTGCTTGCCAAGGGACGGGAAGGCTCCGAGGCCGTCGACGGTAGCAATGGCTTCGGTACACCAATTGGCGGGTCAGCCACCCCTGGCGGCATCAACGGGCACTCCGGCATCGGTAGCAACGCCGACGCCATGGACATTGACGGACCGACCCTGAACGGTATGGCCTTAGGGCAGGCGCTCAACGAGGCAGCAGAACAGGCTTACGAGGACGACGAGTATAAGATCTGGAAGCAAGTTACCAAGAAGGATCGTGCGCTCATCGCCAAGGAGCGGTACCAGCTCTTCAAGGACAACAGGCTCAATGTCGACGCACCTGCACTCCTCCGAAACAAGGCAGGCATTCGATGGTACTTGAGGAACCAGAAAGAGGCCGAGTCCTTGGGCGTCATCAGCCACTCTGCCGACTCTTCAGCCATCGCCGCCAAGGAAGCAGCAAAGCCTGCCGAGACTCTTGCGGAGGGCATGGAAGGCGAAGAGGAGAAGGTCGTTCCCGCGTACTACGAGCCTCTGACGGTCATCCCCGACATCCAGCCCAAGCTGCAGTGGATCGAGGACGGCGAGGGTCACGTCATTAACCAGCACGAGGAATATCTTCGGCTGATCCCTGAAGGCCACTTTGTTGCGCCCAAGAGCAAGTTGACCAGCAAGATCGACACCAACATTCGTCAAATCCAAGAGACGAGGAAACTGTCGAGCAAGATCGGCGTGATTAAGCAGATGCAGATTCAGACTCAGGTTTGTCCGACGACGCAGCTAAGAGAACGAATCTAACTTTTCCAGGTTTACAACAACCAGTTTCCCAAGTCCAACTACGAGGCGTTTGTCGAGCAGGACGCCGAGCCCTCTTTCATCGCCGACGACGGGCCCGTCATTGCCCCGGAGACCTGCCACAATGCCCTGCAGCGGTCCGTGGCCAAGATCCTCTACCACACCGGTTTCGAAGAGCTCCAGCCTTCTGCCATCGACACTCTGACCAGCATCGCGTCCGACTATTTCGAGAAGCTCATCCACACGTTCAATGTCTATCGGGAAGCTGAGAAGAAGGAAGCAGTTCGTTCTGAACACGGACCTCGATTCCAGAACCGCTTCACTCCTGAGGAGGTCATTTTGCATACCCTGGACGAGAACGGCTGCGATTTGGTCAACCTGGAGTCTTATGCGAAGGACGATATCGACAGGCTGAGCACGAAGCTTGGCGGTATTCACGAGCGCATGAAGCTGCATCTGACCGAGCTGCTGCGTCCTGCCCTTACCCAAGAAGCTGGCCAGGACGGAGTCGGAGCCTTCAAGGACGGCAGCGAGCAGTTCGTTAGTGGCGACTTCGCAGAGGATCTTGGTGAAGATTTCTTCGGATTCAAGGCGCTCGGTCTGGACAAGGAGATGGGTCTTGATGTGCTCTCGGTTCCTCTTCACTTGCTCCAGTCTCGCGTGCGCAACCAGTACCAGATGCAGACACAGACCACCGGCACCGAGGTCACAGACTTGTTCGACTCGCTGCCGCCTGTGGACCCCGTCACTACGGACAACATCCACGGGCAGATTGGCTTGATCAAGAACTTCTTTCTCGCCAAGTTGCATGCCAATAGCGACGCTCCCCTCGTCGAAGACGAGGAGCTGCCTGTCAAACAGAGGAGGCCTCGCCCGCGTCTTGGTGCATCCGGAAAGATTGTCTCTCCGCAGAAGCGACCTCCCAAAGAACAGATCGCCCTCGCCAAGAAGAAGAAGAAGATGGAGTTGGCGGCGCAGGCTCAGAAAGAGCAAGGTGCCGTCAACGCTTCTCCCGAGAAGGGCGGCAACACCACGCCGGCGAAGAAGGTCAAAAATGTCAACATCAACGGTACAGGCCCCAACCCGGCTGCAATCGCCCTTCCCCCTAGCATGGAGCGGAACGAGAGCGTGCAGAGCCAGGGCAATGCCAGTCAGACCGACAAGGATGAGGGCATGGGCATGATGAGCCCCGAAAGCATTGAGAGGTGATATTGATCATGTCTGCTCTTCTCCGTATATATACCCCCCGCAAATACGACCTGGACGGTGTGATACTGTCTTGCCGCCTCTAGAACGTAACCCCACGGCTTCTACTTTACTACCTACCACCCCAGGCGCATGGTCTCATCACTGTGCTCCACGCCTGGGCCGTCTGTTATCATACATTTTCAATATACGTTTCCCGCTTTTTTCATCCCTCGGCGTTGGGTTCGGATCATCATTCGGTCGTATGGGAAGGGAGACGTAATGCAGACCAAACTACATGGCATGCTATTGCTAAGAATATTGGGATACCCAAAAGCCAACGACTGGCCTTTTTTTCAGGGACTCTGTGCTGTCACAGAAGGCCAAAGAGTGGCCACATTTTTTATCAGGCGGATCGTCATGTTTTGAGACGCGGCAAATTTGAATTTCTGTTTCTTTCAGTCTCGTCCTTCATTCCGTGGCCCTAGCCGACAGTCCTTGCTTGGTGTGCCGCGGCGCGGAGAAACCATGCCATGGACCGGGGATGGTACACGTTTCCTACTACACTCTTGACTATTATAGTGCACGACATCAAAACACCCGCCCTCAGTATGAGTCCAGGGAAGGGAAAACCTTTTTTCGCGTAAGAAAGACATGGATTTCGGATGGGGATTGACTGACGGATTGGAACGGCAACCCCGCTGGGTGGCATCGATATCGTGTTTCTCGGTTTGGTCTCGACGCGATTTTAAAAATTCTGTTTCATGGCATGCGGAACGTGGACATGCCTTCTCTTTGTCTTGAGTTGACGTGATGTTAGCGGAGGTAAAGCTGATAGACGAGGGGGTGGCTTATTTGCGTGATGTTGGAGAGTCGCAGTAGTGAATTGACACGAGTTGAATGAAGTTGCCCGATTGCATGTCATGTGTTGTGTGTTACGTCAACGTCTAGTCGAACATGAGTATGGTATTTATCCAAGGCAAGGTCAAACATGCTCATCATCAGAAATGGCATGCACCACGAAGAGAGAGTAGTCTTCTTCACAACCCTGAACAAGCCAGAGACAGCAATGAAAACAAGAAAAGGGTGCATCAACCTGGAGGCAGTGTAATACCAGGGACACTAGAAAGTTCCAAAGATTAAAAAAGGTTGTAGAACCCCCTATACGAGGGACCTGTCGTGTAGTTGTAGACCCCCCTATGCGAGGGGCCGTCGAGCCGAGAGAGCCCGCCCCTCCGCCGTATCGGGCGGGACTTTCCTGTGAAGATGTCAGTAAGGACGAAGATGAGGAGGGGGACGAGGACGAGGACGAGTATGAGGACGAGTATGAGGATGAGAATGAGGAGGAGAATGAGGAGGAGAATGAGGAGGAGAATTGAGAAACTGCAGAGGGGCTGGCGGCTGGCCTTATATTGTTTCCCAGCGGGTGCCGCGATCAGTAACCGACCGCAGCGGTTCTTGAACGAGAGTCATCAGAGAAAGGTAAGGTATGGCCAAAGAGGTTGAGAAGTAAGGACTCCCGAAGAACGCAACCCAACCGAGTTCTCACACACAAGCTAATCGGGTCAATGATATATCCAGGGGTTCTCAACCTCGAAGTTTCTAAAGCTAAATTCAAATGGACTAGTAGATCGCAGGCCCTGGCCAGGCACCACTCTTATTGTGAACTCAAACGAACTAACGAGCGCCCCTCTAGTTCCATACAAAGAGTGTGTTTGCCAAGAAACTACCCATAGCAGCACCACCACTTTGCCTACTGAAGTATCCTATGAGTCTCATGCAGTCTTTGGAGGAGAAGCCTTCGGTGAGCATTAGATACTTGATGGCCATGCCGATGGGGAACGGGGCTGCATGCATTCCAAAGGTTCCAGCTTCGGGTTGGAAGAAGACCTCAACGGCGTCAGCGATCAAGAGGCAGTATTGCCGCGGGTTTGTCCGCTCTGCCTGCTCCATCACCTCGATGCCTGGTAAATTGAAGGTGCTACTCAGCACCGCGTGGAGTGAGCTGTAGACTAGAATACAGACCGTCCAGAAGCATGTCATGACGTGGGCGACGGCGAGTTCGTCGGCTGTGGGGTTTTTGTATTTCCGCTCGTGTAATTCGTGGAGGATGTCGGTAGGCGGGCTGAGATTTTCGAGCCACCATACAATCTCCCGGTCCAGACGCTGGTATGTCTTCATGAAGCGCTGGCAATTGTAGTCGCTTGGGTTGCTTTTCAAAATGTCGACTTCCTCGAGTACAGCTGGGACGTCGATGAGAATGTCTAGCATGACGTCCTTTGGGGTCTTTGGGATTTTGGCCCACGGAACTGTCTTCCATGCCATGTCGCTAAGGAAGCTTCTCTTTCTGCTCATGCACCCAGCTATGGCCTATGAAAGTCAACTTCCTCTTGCTGAATTTCACTGGATGTAAACTTACGAGGTGCATTCTCACTCCCGAAAAGATATGGTGTGCGTGGCCTTCAATAAACGACTTGGGGCCTCTTTGTTGGATAAGAGCCAGCTCACCCAAGTTGTGGTTATGCCAGCTTTTCACCTGAGATCCGTCGGCTTGGACGCGCTCCTGCGTTCCGTACAGAAGCTTGCCACTATTAGTATGGGATACGTCAAGAGTACACAGGCGATTTCACCTCAAAGAGTCCAAGTCCCTGCGACGCAACCATGACGGCATCAGACTTCCATCTTTTGGGATGTTGCAGGCTTACATTCACCTCACTCAACGCCTGAACGTACGTCTGGAACCCCTTCGCGGTGGAATATGCCTGGCCATCCTTTTGTCCTAGAGTGCTCAAGGACATGGCAATTAAGGTTCGACGCAGTCCATCTTCATCTTGGTAAAGGTCCCTAGCTGAAGAGACCCAGCTGTAGACAGGGTAGTTGGCAGATATTTCGGCGGAAGGAGTTCCACATGGGGACCAGGCATCCCACAGAAGGCTGATGTACTTGTCCTCATATGCAGAGCGAGCCAGCGAATGTGGAAGCACTACATCGGTACAAGACGGCTTGAATGTTGTCCGTCCAGCATTCCCTGGCCCTGTTACGTTGATGAAGACCTGTCGTCGGTCATATTCACATGTGATGTTAAGCCTTGAGCAGTTGCCGCAGATTGGCTGTGGGAGATCACACTTGGACAGGTCAGGTCTCCGGATTTGAAAAGGCAACACCGCGTGTTCACTTACACCCTTCTTCCGCTGCCGACATGTCCGAAAACCCTTGGATCTTCCTGCAACGCCGACCATTGTGGGAAGATTGTGCTGGCTTGGCAACGCAAATGGAACACTGGCCACACGTTGGGGCGCAAGATCAACTACTTCCAGTCCAGAAATGTTGACGAAAGACGCAATCTGGCGGGAGGTATGCAGACGTTTATCTATCTACCCGCTCGAAGGAGCTCATTCTGCGCGCCAATCAAGAATGAGACTTATGCAGCCCTACGGCGTAGTTGACAAGATTCAGGGCAGATGCGGGGGAGACGACATATCTGCTGGCAAGATGCGCCCGACTGAGACACAAGAACCAATCACGACTAACTCACGATTGCTTCTAAGCCCAAAAAGGACCATTTTGCGCCGTCGGTATTCCTATGTCTCTGCTGTATGCAAGCCAAGTCTCCTGTGTTGCATCGCTTGCGAATGTGCGAAATCAACATGATATTTCGAGGCTGCGACGGAATGGTTTACAACGAGACATTTGTAAGGTGAGGTCTCGTGTATATAAATGGTGGTGTTGCTCTGTTCTGGACCACCAGATGTCTCCTGCCTCCCCCTTCTATCCATCAACTTGCCTCTTCCCTGAGCCTGCACATACACACAGCATCAAGAGTTGCCATTTTATTGCAGCTACTCACAATGGCTGCAACAAACCAACCCAACAACTTCGCCGCCAAACTTGGCAGGATACATGAACTTCTGGGCTTCCGAAAGAGGTATAACTTCATCCTCTTCGTCAACTTTGCGGGCGCCCTCATGGGGTTCATCCTAGCCCGCCTGATGTATCTCAACTTTGACAAGGTCTTCTGCGGACCGGGCTTCAGCACAACTGAGCGCGCATTACCCGGCGAGTGTTATTACTACCGCAACTTCACCGTAGATTGGATAGGGATCATCATGCATCTCGCATGTATCTTGCCTGCATCGTTCCTCGTCTGTTGGCAGTTCGTCCCCGCCATCCGGCGCAAATGGATCGTCTTTCACCGAATCAACGGCTATGTTATCCTGACATTGTCTGTCCCGGGTACCATTGGTGCACTTATGCTTGTAAGACATGCTGTTGGCGGTGGTTTAGAAGTTCAAGCCTCCGTTGGATTCCTCTGTCTCGGTTTCTTGGGTTCACTTTTCATCTCGATCATTGAAATCAAGAGATTGCAGATTGAACAGCATCGCGCTTGGATGCTTAGAGCTTGGTTTTATGTAAGTCACCGCCTCGCCATCGTTGAAACTTGCTGACCTAGCCTTGACAGGCCGGCGCCATCATCACATTGAGACCGATTCTTCTTCTTGCGGCGCTCGTCATCAGCAAGCAAGGAGGATATTACGTCTCTCTTCCTTGTGCAGTGATCGAACACATGCTGGGAGCCGCGAATGTGAATAACACCGCGGTCGCAACGTCTTTCCTCTTTGAGGGGTGTACCCCCTACACGTCGGGGGAAAATCCGAACCAGCAAGTGCCGATTGAGGCGAACTTCTTTGACAGGTCAACTCCTGCACCAGCCACGGCATCTCTACACGCCAGTTTTGGCATGGCTGGATGGTTAGCGGGCGCAATACATGTAATTGGAGTGGAAGTCTACGTGAGTTTCGTGAACGACCCTACCCAGGCAAATGCTAAGATCGATAGCTGCGTCTCACTCCAAAGGAAGCAGAGAGACTTCGGCATGTGTCCTACCAACGACAACTGGAAGCCGGCATGCGCAACCCTGGCAGTGCAGGTCTGACGCTAGACATATTGGGAGTTGAAGATAAATGGGAACCAAAGGATTCCGGACGACGTGACGGAGACGGCGGGAATTCTCAGGACTCGGGCAA